CATTCCGCTGACCCCATACCCATCCATCGGCCGCTGAAAGTATGTGTTTCTGGATTCCCATATTCCAATATAGTTTAAGCGCCTTCCTACTTCGAATGATCGAGTGGCTTGACCTTTTCAGTTCTTTCTTGGTGGGGCGGACGGAAACCCCAATATATTGTCAACGCCTTCCTATTTCAAGTTTCTGTCTACTTCTTCCAGCCGATGGGTAAGGAGCGAGTGTTTGCGACGATATTGGAAGTGATCTAAAGGGTCAGGAGCTTCTTGGATGCACATGAGGAGCTCGTGGGAAGCCTCTCTAGGGGCCTCTTCAAGGGCTCTTAAGGGCATCTGACAGGGGGTCTTGGGCCTTCTTGAGGGCCTCTTGGTGGCTTCTTGGGGACGCTTCGGAAGCCTCTTGTGGAGCTTCGGGGGCGTCGGGGGTTTCTTGTGGCCATATTGAAGAGAAAGGCTCGAAATGTCAGTTTGCATCTTCCCTTTGGGGCTCGTCTTAGGGCCCTCTTGGGCCTCTCCTGGGCCGTCTTGGGGGCCCCTGAGGCCGTCTTGGGGCCCCCATGTGCCCTGTTGAAACGATATTTGGGGCCCCATGGGCCGTCGTGGACGCTGCCAAGACGAAAAAGGCTAATATCGAAGACGCCTGCGGCGAATCACGGCCGCCCATTGCATGCATGTTGGAATCGCCCATGTGGCCGAACGTTGTAGCCAGAGCTCTGCCAAGCCATCGACCATATGTTCATCAGCCGTTGTGGAAACCCTTTGAGGAACACGCGTGGGCGAAAGAAGAAGCGGAGGAGAGGGAGGACAAATAGAGAGGAGGAGGAGGAGGAGGAGAAGGAGGAGAAGGAGGAGAAGGAGGAGGAGGAAGAAGAAGAGGAGGCGGAAGAGGCTGAGGAGGAGGAGGAGGAGGAGGACTCTTTGGGCATTCTGGGAGCTTGTCGGCCCCTCCAGGGCCTCCTGGAAGCCTCCTTGGGCCTCTTGGGGGCCTTTGGGTGCCTCTTGGGGGCATCTTTGGCCGTCTGAAGGCGTGCCTGGCCTGACTGACGCCGTCGGAAGCCGCCTTGGTGGCCTCTCTGGACCGACTTGAGGCCCTCTTGGTGCGCTTCCGGGCCGCCTTGGAGGCCACCGTGGGCGTCTTGGAGGCTCGTTGGGCCGTCCTGGGGCCGTCTTGGAGGCCCCATTGGGCCGTCATGGGTGTCATCTTGGAGGCCTTTGGGCCACCTTGGGGCGATCTTGGGACGCTCTGGGGCCGGCCTGGGCCGTCGGAAGGCCGAAGAGAAGCAAGTGCCCAAATCCCCCAAAAACCTGGAGAAGTCAATGATCTTGGCCGAGGCTCCTTGGGCGGATCTGGGGGTATCTTGGACCCTCTTGGGCCCTCCTGGGGGCCAACTCGGACCTCCTTTGGCGAACTTGGGGGTCATCCTGCCCTCTTGGAGACCATCCTGAGCCGTCTTGGGTGATTTGTTCCAGACGTTGAGGTGGTTTGCGGTCCCTTCCGGGTGGCCGGCGCGCAGGGCCGAAGCCCCAGGGGGAGTTCTTTTGGAAAAGAACCAAAACCAAGCCGCTTGGATTCCGCACGCCAGGCACCCTCGTGATAAACCAACAGGGGGGCGGCGGATCGAAGACGCCTTCGGCGAGTCACCGCCGCCCCTTGCCTTCTAGAATCGCCCCTGCGGCCGAGCGTTGTGGCAAGAGCTCTGCCAAGCTATCGGACCATGTGTTCCCCCAACCGTTGTGGAAACCGTTCGGGGAACACGTGGGGGAGGATGGCGGGGAAGATCAAGGGGAGGCGGAGGAGGAGGAGTGGAGTGGAGTGGACGCCGTTGCGGAAGCAAGATCCCATCCCTTACACATCACGACTCTGAGCGGCCCTCGAACGCCTGGCAGTCTGTTCTGCCTGGCTCAGGACCTTGGGCTGTAACCCCCTTCTGATCCTGTCAAGGTATTCTCGCTTGGTCTTATTCAGCTTATACGAACAGGGAGACTTGAGCGATCGCAAAACCTTATCTGCGAAAGCTCCACATTGGGTACAGAACCACACCTGAAGCCCCTTGTGCACATTCAACGTGTGAGTGTTATGTGCCCAGCCCCCCGCGATATGAATTCTATCCCCCTTGAGAGGAGAGAAAATGACCCCATCAGCATTATATAACCTCGGACATGGTGTCCCTATCCATTCACCTACTGTAGCATGTGTAGCAGACCCGAAACACTTCAGACAGCGTCTCTTACAGTCCGCTAAGGAGTGGGGCGAAAGGAGAGCCGCAACAGCGGCAGCAGCAGGGGGAGGCAGGAGGGGAGGGGGAGGAGGCGGAGGGGGAGCCTCAGGCCTACTCAGTCTAGCCACCTTCTCAGCTTCCGACGTCGCTGCAATACTGTCCATCGTGGCACGTAGCAACCGCATTCTGATCAGATACGCTCGGCGCTCGTGCAACAACACCCGTGTCCTAATACTTTCTGGCACTCGCACTCGGTTGGCTGCGTACCCCGCAAACTCGTCCGCAATAAGGTTTCCAATGGCGAGGCTCCGAAAACATGTGCCAGCAACGATGTCCCTAGCATTCATATGGGAGTGTGTCCACAAGACTACCACAT